AAAAAAAACCAAATGCAAAATGGTGATTTGTAGGTGTGTTTGAAAGTAGAAGTTTTTTGTGTTTTTCATAAATACATGCCATTCTCTAGAATGATATTGCTCTAATCTTTTGAGTTTGTTGTTGGTTTTTTTTCCCCCTCAATTCTAAATGTTATGTATTCTTTTTGGCCATTTTAGTAAATAGATTTTCTGATATGTGTGAAAGACAGTCTGAAGTTCCCCTCATTTGCCTCACGACCATTCCCAGGAAAGACACTGGGACCCTAAAGACCCTGATGGGAGTTCTGGCCTGCCGGTGGTGGATGAACGCCAAAAATCCTGAGACCCCTGAGCAGAATTCTGGCCTGCCAAGTGATTGTTCACAGCTGTGTCTACAGTGACTGCTTCTAGCATGGCCTGCCAAGGGGCAACGCAGCCCATATGCTTGCACCTGCTTCACGACAATAGGCCAGGAATTTTCCCACCTCTCGGCCAGATGAACTTGCTGAGGCAATTTTGGTAGCCCCCCCATGGAAAGTCCTTCATCTGCTCCACAACCACCGTGAGGGACGGAGAATGAAGCCCCTCTATCAAGGACTGAAACTGAGACCCCCGTAATTCTGATCCAGGGGTGCTGGCCTGACTGAAGCAGGATGCCTGCTAATTGTTAGCTACAGATGTGTTCACTGGACCTAGACTGGTTTCCCATAGAAAGCAGTCCTGAAACAATGGGTCCCACTCACTGCTGATATTGACATCTCCTGCTGAGAACATGGACTGTCTGTACCCGTCTTCAATACCTTTGTCCCCCTCAGCAATTTCAATAGACTTCTTCTTCTTCTTGATTGTATCTGTTCCCTCTCAGCCATTTCAAGATCTGTTTCCCCTCTCAGAAATCTACTATAATAGAATCTTGAGTTAACCAGGACTTTGAGATTTTCCCGACATGAGTAGGCAAACTCTACCGGCTGGACTACGAGGACTTAGTCTCTCCAAGTTTGGTCGCTATACTCCTGTCCTGGTTCAGGGCAAATTTTGGAGAAAACCCACAAAGGGGTTCCTCTAGTGTCCTGGGGTGACGTTATGATGCTTGTATCCCCATTTATCTGTTCTGTGCCTTTAAGACCAGCTCTGAAGAGTGGAAGTTTTGTTTGGGTTTCCCTTATCAGGGACACAGAAATGAGCAGTGCATAGGGCTGTTTTTCACTTCTAGCTTGCAGCTTGCTGCTTTTGCTTGCTTGCTTTTCTGCTCTTGCTTCTGCTCTCGCTTTTGCTTCTTATTAGCTAGTTTAGCTAAACAGTCCAAATTCCTTCCCGGACTGTTTCTCCTCTCCTGTTCCTGTGACCATCTCGAACCTGCCCAGACTGGGACTGGGAACACCGAGGATTCACACCGTTTGGCTGCGGCAGCTGGCCCAGCGCCGGAGGGACTGAGAACAGAGCAACCACCCCCGAAAGAGACTTTCTGATTTTGTCATCTTTCTCAGAGCGGTGTCATCTGGTATTGCTCATTTTGTGTGCTGCGGGGTGCTGTGCGTGTCAAATAAACAGGTTCTTTCCACCTCTCTCCAAGGAATTTTTCCCCGAACCGGTTGGGGGGAGGGGCCGTGTGGGTTTTGCTTTCTGGAGGGGCCCTTCTTTGCAGATTCTTTAACAAATTTGCCCTAAACCAGCACACTCTAGGAAAGCAGATTCATTTGGCCCCTCCCCCAACCGGTCCAGGAGAAAATAGCTCCTTGGAAAGAAGTGGAAAAAACCTGTTTATTAAACAATAAAACCCAAACAATATTAAACAATAAACTACCTTGTTGCTCCAAAAGAGATAACAAAATGAGAAAGTCCCCTCCCCGGGTTTCAGTTCAGCTCACTCAGTCTCTTATCAGTCCCTCCAGCACTGGAAATGTCATGGGCCAGGCCTGGCCCAGTGGGCCACAGGTGCAGCTGCCGGTGCTCTGCTGGGTGTTCAGTCCAGAGCAGGTTTCAAGAGGTCCAAAGAAAAGAAGAAAAGGGAAAAAAGAAAAAAAACCCCACAGTCCAGGGAACTTCTTTGCCTCAGCAAGCTAAAACTAACTAAAAGCAAAGGAGAGCTCTGTCCCGCTGTCTGTTCATTCACAGACAACACAGTCCAGCAGCCGGAATGTGGAGGAGTGAGTGCAGTGTCTGAAAACAAACTGCACGCTTCTTGTCTCCCCCCTTCACTCTCTACAACAAGCCTTAAAGGTGCAAAACTTATTATTCAGCATAAAAAGAACAAGACGATTGGGGATAAAAGCATCATATAGTCAACCTAGGACAACTCCCTCTCTCTTTTTCCTTCTCTTTTCTATTCTTTTCCGCTGCCTAATTCCTTTCACGCATTTGCTGTGGTCATTCTATAAAGGTGCATTTGTTTTGATTGGTACTTCAATCCCCTTTCCATGTTGTCTGTTGCACTCCAAGATCAGTTAACGAACCGTCACCACCCCCATTGGTATGAGCGGATTGTGACATTAAATCGGCGTCATGGGCAGGATTCTGATAGACAGAGGGGTCTACAGGGCTGTTTGTAGTCTGTAACAGGGGAAAGACGATTTGCTTCAGCCACACCTTGTCCCTCATCCTGAAAGGGTTGAACAGAACTGGAAAGCAAGGAAAGCTCTTCGAATTTCCCACAAACTGCGCACGCCCAGGTGAAATACACCCCCATACTCTATTGAGGGTTCTGTCTTTAGAATTTCCCAAAAGATCTCTTAGTGCAAAAGGGGAAATTGTTTTTGTTTATGTGTGGATTTGGACTGTCTGGGAAGGAAGGAAGGAACAACTTGAAGGAAGTAAGCAGAGCCTCCCAGGCAGATTTTGTCTCTTCACCCAGCCAGGGAAGCAAAGGGGAACACAGCAAAGGCTGTGAGATTGTCTAACTTAAGTTTGCACCTCCCTGTTGGGGTTTTGGTCCCTTCACAAAATGACTGAAAACTCTAGCGCAAAAGATAAAGCTGCATTTTCTGCTCTGCTTGCTAAATACAATGCCAAGCCTTCTCCAAGGGGGGGAGCTGGTGTCAGGGTGAGCTCGAGCCCCAAACTGGGGTGGGACCAGGGTTTATAAAGGGGAGAGGGTAGGCGGGGTCGGGGTACCATTTAACCAGTGGGGAAAGGATTCAGAGGAGGGGACAAGGCAGGGTGATCGGGGGTACACCTATAGGAATGGGGGGAGAGGGTGGTCCTGGGGCAAGGTCCAAAGAGGGGAGTGGGGAATGGGGAATTTTCCAGAAGGGAAGGAGTGGGTTAGAGGTGATTGATGTTAGAGTCATCCCAGGGTGCTCCCACCCCACCTTCCCTGTCCCCTCCTCCCACAAAAGGACTTCTTTTTCCCATGGAAAATGGCCTCTGTTTGCAGCCAATTGCCCTGCTCAACAGGGCGGCGCCAGGTTGGAAATGGACAAGCCTTGTTGGATTTCTCCAAAACTAAAGCTGCCAGCAAATAGGACCCTGCAAGCTTTTAGAGTCCTAAAAGTCACCTTTCAACTGATACCCAGACCCTGAGGAAAGGACTTCTTTGTCCCACAGAAAAATCCCTCCGTTTTGCGGCCGCTCGCCTGGGCCGACAGGGCAGTGCCAAGCTTAAAATTAGAAAACTTTGTTGGGTTTCTCCAAAACTAAAGCTGCCAGCAACTAGGATCCTGCAAGTCCGTAAAGCCCCAAACGCCACCTTTTGTTTGATACCCAGACCCTGGGGAAAGGACTTCTTTTTCTCATGGAAAATGGCTTTCCTTTGTTGCCAGTCACATTTGCAGACAGTAGGGCGGTAGGTGTGGGTATCCATAAAATCAGAGAGTTTTGGGAAAGCCACAAAAGGCAGGCCTCAGTGACAGCAGAATTGTGATTCCAGCTAAGCAGTAACCATAAGACTGGTCAGCAGAAAAATTATCTAAGATATAGAAAAGTAAGGACAAATAGAACATTTGTCTCTTATTAACGTTTGTCTAGAATAACTCCCTAAGCTGCAGAAAAGTATATCTAGGCAGATGTTAGGAAGTTCCAAGCTTAATAACGGAGCTCTGTCTATGGTGTTTTAAAGCTTACTAGCAGGTATTGTATTTGAAATAAGTAAGCATTGTTTTAAGTGACATTTCATCTGCTTGTAGTGGTTGGATGGAACTACTGTCAGTATACTTTTACTTTGTGTGATTGGTCAAAAACTTAGAAAGTAAGTTGTAACATTAAATTCTTGGTCTGCTGCCTGGGATGGGAGCTGATGGCATCTTCCCATTGTCATAATCATGTAATGAGACAGATGCTGGAAAATAATACAGCTCAAGATGTGTTACTAGCAGTTCCATCCTGTTCATGATTTGTACATAGCCCCTGGCCAGTGATACAAGCTACTTGGCCTTCTATTTATTTCCCAAAATAATACATACGCATAACTCCAGCACTTCCCATCTCTGTTTTGTATTAAAATGAGGTTATTAGTCTTTCATGCGTGCACAATTCTTCTCTTGAATTGGGTCAGTGGTCCCAGAGATGAAGTCAGGAAGGTCTTTGTCAGGTCTCTGTAACCCTCTGGCATGATCCAGGGCCCTGTGCTTCATGATGGATTAACATAGAGTCCTGGCGCTGGACATTGTTCTACTGGTTTCAATACGTTCCTATAATGGTTCAATTGCTCCACTTCTTTCTACAAATGAGCTCATAACATAACAATTAGCTTTACCTTAAGTATCTAATAATCATTAACCTATTGTTGGTGTATCTAACGTCAATATGAATTGGTTCTAATCGTCAGCTAAAATTTTAACCCTTTAAAATCATGATTCAGTACTCTGCCAACACCCTTTTCTTCCGTACTGTTACCGCCACAGCGGGCCCAGGGGACAGCTCGACTGCTCTCGAAAAGCTGTCAGTGCCCTACTCCAGCGCTACGGCATCTTGAGGCTACAGACAGGACTGGGAAGCTCAGCCGGCTACAGAGTACTGCTCCCCGCCGGGGGCGGGCCCGGGAGCGGGGTGAGGCCGGCGCCGGAAGAAGGGTTCGGTTCCGGGCCGCGCGGCGTCATGGAGTCGCTGTGGCGGCTGAAGCGGTTCGACGCTTTTCCGAAGACTCTAGAAGATTTTCGGGTTAAGACGTGCGGGGGAGCGCTGGGTGAGCGGGGGCGCTGCGGGTGGCCGGGGGACCTTGGCGGGCCAGCGCTCGTTAGAGACTCGGGGCGGCGGCGGTCTGGTTGCGGCGGGGCTGACAGTGGTTCTCGTCTCCCCGGCAGTGACGGCAGTTAGCGGGCTCATCATGGTGCTGCTTTTCTTCTCGGAGCTGCAGTACTACCTCACCAAGGAGGTAAGTACCGCCGACGGAGCGGACACGGCCCCAGACCCCGGTGCTGCCTCCGACTCGCGGCGGGCAACCCTTCAGGGTGGCCGGAGCGCCCTTGCCTCTGCCCCCGCCGGGCCGCCCCCCTGGGCTGCCCAGACAGCAGCTTCGCCCAGCATAGACCTGCGGTTCGCGTTATTTTTCTGTGCCCTGTCCGGTCGCCGCGGCGGTGGGGGCGAGCTGCCCTCCCCCGTCTGTGGCGTCCTGCCAGGACGGCGGTACGTCACGCCTCCTGCGAGCAGCCATGCCAAGCCAAGAAGGGAAAGCAAGCGCTGAAGCCTTGTTCCCTCCCCACGTTCAGAGGTCCCCCAGTTATTTAACAGCATTGCAAATGGCATGCGCTGGGCTGTGCAGGGCAGTGGCTGAGCTGTCTCGCAAACCTCTTCTGTCTTAAAAATCAGCTCCTGGGCCACAGCACCAAGAGAAAGGGGCATTTTGATTTGCTCACAAGTAAAATGGGACTCTTTTTCCTTTGTTCCCAGGTTCATCCAGAATTATACGTTGATAAATCAAGGGGAGATAAACTGAAGATCAATCTAGATGTTATTTTTCCACATATGCCTTGTGCTTGTGAGTAAGACTTCTGAATGGTGATGATAGTTTTTGTCCTTGGCAGGGACTCAAGAGGCTCAGTGTGCTCATAACAAATGTATGCTTATAGATCACTTTCCTTGTGCACTGGTTTCAGATTTGAGCATTGATGCAATGGATGTAGCAGGAGAGCAGCAGCTGGATGTAGAGCACAATCTGTTTAAACAACGCTTGGATAAAGCTGGGAATCGTGTAACTCCAGAGGCTGAGAGACATGGTAAGATGCTCTTCTACCTGTCCTGGTTGGATGCTCTGTTAGTGTTTCTGTTGTATGCCTGTTCTGAGATTAGTGGGAACAAGGTGACAGCTGTAGAGTGTTTAAATGCCACAAAGTCTTGAATACCTTATAGCATGCAGATCTATTAAACTACTCTTACACTCACTACTTTTGCAAGAAAATCTTTGCCCAGTCCCTCTGAAACTATGATAAACACCCATGGATGCATTTGAGGAATAAAGTTGCACAGTTGGTGGTCTTTTGAGATTAGAAATCAAGCAGCTGTTCTTGCAAAATTTGGCTTTAAATCACAGTGGGTGAACAAATGGGACTGTGTGATTCTAGGAAAGGCTCCAGTGACTTAACTTTTAAGCCTAAACTTGCATTTTACTCCATTAACTCTGTGTGTGTTAATGCGCACCTGGATAAATACATGTGAGTTGATCTGTTGTTTGCAAGCTGTAATAAGGGATCCTTGGCTACATAAACCTCTCCTCTGCATTTTTTACATGTTATGACTCATCCTTGTTCTTTGATACCAACCAGAAAGGATTCTGACAAAGCATTTTTCAGTCGCACACTATTACTATTTTGACTTTTCCTTTCCAGAACATGAGTTACTTGTTCTATTTTCTGGGAGTCAGTGTAGTTCTGAGTATCAACATGACCAAATTTTTAGCTTTGTATCACTTTAGATTTAACATTTTGTTGTTGACACTGAAAGGCTAAACTAAGCCAAGAGCTGAACAGTTGGCAGGCACAAGGGTTTCTCTGGTTGTCATGGGAATGTGGTGATAGTGTTCTAACTGCTATGTCACTTAGCAACCATCACAGGTTGTGACTTTAAAAATTATTATTTGGGTAAAAAAACTATTCTACATGTTTTTAAGCAAGTCCTGTATTACTCATAATGTACTGGTTGGGTCTACTTTAGATGCTTTAGCAAAGCCTTTATGCAAGCAATGTCTGATGCTTCAGCAAGGCTTACAGATAGCCAGTTCTTTCCATGGAGGCTGTTCTTGAGAGGACAAATACTATGCTCCTTCTTGGTTTTGCTCCACACCTCAGCAGGCTACATACATACCATTTTAGGTGGATGTTGGGTGCAGGATGTGCAGTAGCACATTGTGTGCAGAGTATTCATTATGCATAGAGCAGAACAAGAGTACAAGACAGAGTTTCTAGATGTGTCTCATCACTTTGAATCCTGTTTTGTCTTAGAGCTGGGAAAAGAAGAAGAAAAAGTGTTTGATCCAAATTCTTTGGATGCTGATCGCTGCGAGAGCTGTTATGGGGCAGAGTCAGAGGACATTCGGTAACCTTTACACTTTTTTCCTATCTTCTTAGCGCTTGAATCCTGGTATGTTATATGCATATTTTTTTTCCAAATGTCTATGAAGGTCTGTGCAATGAAATCCTGCTCTCAGGCACATGTTCAGTGATAAGAGCTATTGTGGTTTGGCTATGCCTTTGGAAGCTGCACTCAAGATTGTTGAGAAGGTGCATCTGTAGGTTGTTTGGATTGTCTACGTGCCTGTTTAAGCAGTACAAAACTTGTATCTCAGCAGGTGAGAGATTTTCTGGGCTTGTTTGGTGTCCAGAGCAGAGGTGTTTAAATGATTTCACTGTTACACGAGGTATCTTAACATAAAACCTGGTTATGCCCTGGCCTTGCCTTCTCACTGCTGCTGGTGGCATTGTTTCCTTACAGGAGAAAAGACCAGACATCTATGGTTCACACAAACAACAGGCATCTTTTCGTATTTCTCATTCCTCTAAACAGGAAATTACTGTAAGAATGGATCCATGATAGTCCATATAGGTTCTGGACTAATTTTGGCTATTTTTGGCTCAGTGATAACTTGGTTTGTCCCATCTGTCAAGTTGTGTCCTTTCCCAGAGATGTTTTCATCTTGAGGTATTCATAACTGCTGCCTTCAACAGGAGGAATTCATTCAACATGTCCACCAAAACATGAAACCAAGGAAGAAACCTGGGGTTTTTTCTGGTAACCAAGTATTGTCCACAGGTAGAAAAGTACTAAGAAAGTTTGTAGTTAAGCCCCCCTTTAGCCCAATGTCTTGGCCTAAAAACAGAGGAGAGGAGCAATAGAAATAGGCAGATGCTTTGTTCACATGAGGAAGTTCCAAACTGCTCATAACTGGGGGACACTGATGTTGTTTTTGTGATAAATTTCTTTGCCAAGGGATGCCTTGGCTGTGTAAATGGCCAGGCAGAGCCCTCTTTGGACTGTATTCAATGTATTGAATACAGAGTCCTGTATTCAAACAGTGTGCATCCTCACCTCCAAACCTCAAAAGGCACATCAAGAAGATCATGCTTATTCAGGACCATTAGGCCACTTTCCAAGGTCCAGTCCCCAATATTTGTGTTGCTGCTTTGTTGAATCCTGTCAAGGATTCAAGTCCTGAGCTGGGGCATCTCGTCTTAATGATAAAGATGGTAAGATGGTGCTTGTGCTTTTTGCAGGTGTTGTAATACCTGTGACGATGTCAGAGAAGCATACAGGCGGCGAGGCTGGGCCTTCAAGAACCCAGATAGCATAGAGCAGTGCAAGAGGGAAGGGTTTAGCCAGAAAATGCAAGAGCAGAAGAATGAGGGCTGCCAAGTGTATGGTTTCCTAGAGGTCAACAAGGTGAGAGAGAGCTTTTGCTGTGAATCTGCTGCATGATGGTGAGGACTGTGAAAAGGCAGAGTTGGGGCATTCCTCTCCTTTTCCAGTTTTAGGTGCTTACAGTACTATCATAAAATAACCTCTGGGGTCTTTGTACTATGTCTTTGTGCTTGTCATGAGGTTCAGGAGGACAGTCAGGAAGAGCAGTGGAAAAGAGGCTAGTTCTGGTTTGTGTTCTGTGGGCTGATAGGAAGTCATGGCAGCTGGAGAAGTTCGTCTTTTCATCCCACCTGGGTACCAAGTCTTTTTGGTGAGATTTCTAGAGGAGGAGAGGCAGCTTCTTTTAGCTTGAATTGTTCCACTGCCCTTCCAGTTTTAAATCAGAGGCCACAAGTGGGTGCTGGAGATAGCAGTAACCAACTTGCCTGCAGAGGTGCTGGAGAGAGTGAAATGTTATCTTCTTTAGAAAAACAGGAAGCAAGGCTATTGGAGTTGGTTGTCAAGGCTGAAAATGCTCAGAGAGGTGGTTTATGCAAATGATGTATGAAAATACACAAGATGCACCAGGTAACTATGTAACCTGTCATTTTGTGGGTTACCCTCACAAATACACAGGTTGCATACCCAAGTGCCCTCTAGAAGAAGTCAGACCCAGGCTATTTTTTGTTTGTTTTTAACTTCAAACTCTGTTGGGTTTTTATTTTTTGGGGGTTTTTTTCTTTTTTTTTTTATCCTTGTGTATTCTTCCTGGAGACCACAGTCTTTATTTCTAGAAAGTAGACCTTGTACTGTCATACCCAGAGATTGTGATTTGAGCATTATCATAGCTATTGAACTGTTATGGGACCCTCTCTCACAATATATGATGAGCAGGAAGATTCCAGGGGGAATTCTGAATGTAGGAGTGGTCCAAGTGTGAGTGTCACTGGGGAAGTTTTTGGGGCCTTTTTTTAGGCGCTTGGAACTTTGTGCATCTTCATTCTCAACAGGTCTGCAGTTAACATAAAGCATAGGTTTGCCCAGGCTTCAAAGATTTAATACAATGAGTGAGCTTGGTACATTCAGATCTTCCAAGGCAGAGTACATGTGATTGCTAGTAAGTGTCAGGAAGGACTGGCGCCTAATATCCATATCCCTTTCAGAGTCCAGGATGAAATTTTACCAGTTTGTCTTTTGCAGATTTTTAGGGGGTTGCTTTGGGAGGGGAGTTTAGTAGGTTAAGTGCTTTATTTTTGCATGCCCTTCTTTTCATGGGTTTATACATTGGATCACTGCTGACTATTGTTATAAGTGTTCATCCTCACTTTCTCCTCTCTTTTTCTTTGATAGTGTTTTGTGTTTTCTGTAGGACCAGACAGTTCCCTACTTGGAGTTAATTCCTCCTTTTCTCTTTTTTATGTCCACAAAATAATCTGGATAGAACAGCTGTTATCCACATCAGTATTTAATTATGGATTTCAGCATTACTGGCTGTAATGAACATGGGAAATTCATACCTCTCTTAGGATAATGTCTGCTGCTACTGTCCCCTGTGAAAATGAGTCAGTTGGTGTCTGTCTTGTGTGAACAAAATCCTAAAAGTCTAAACACCAGTACAACTGCTTTGCTTACATAGATTCAGACCATTTAATGAATGTTTATTGTCTCCTGCAGGTAGCTGGAAATTTTCACTTTGCACCAGGAAAAAGTTTTCAACAGTCTCATGTACATGGTAAAGTATTTTCTTTTCCTGTTTATTGGACCTTTTGGTTTCAAGTGTCTGACCATTTTCTTTTAATATCTTTGCATTACTGTCTGTAGTAACAACATCACTGCTTCAGTGAGGAGGACATTGTTGAAGTTTTGTTACAGTGGTTTAGAACTATCATGGACAAACAGAAAAGTGGTTTCTAGGGGTGCTGCCACATGAGCGTGGAAGAACTTGGTAGAGGATGTTTCTGGGTAGTCTCTCAGTTCTGCAAAACTTTGCTGCTTTGCAGTCAAACAACCTCAAGTAAAATTTTCAGACCTGAACCTAACTACAAGTACCTCTAGAAGGGATATTTTCCTCTATTCATGACGTTTAGAGTAAAATTATGTTGTGAAGGACTTCCTTGAGTATATATATAAATATAGCGTGGTGAGAACCATAGTGGTAGTTTACAAAATCATGGAATGGTTTGAGTTGGAAGGGACCTTTAAAAGGCCATGTAGTCCAACCACCCTGCAATGAGCAAGGACACCTTCCACTAGAGGAGATTGCTAAGAGCCCAGTCCAGCCTGGCCTTGAATGTTCCCAGGGACTGAGTGTCTGCCAGCTCTCTAGGCAACCTGTACAAATGTCTCATCACTTTCAACATATACAATTTCTTATATCCAGTCTGAATCTGCACTCTTTTAGTTTGAAAGTATTGTCCCTTGTCCTATTGCAACAGGCCTTATTAAAATGTCTGTTCCCATCTTTGTTACAGTTCCCTTTTGCTGTTAGAAGGGGCTCTCAGGTCTGCCCAGAGCCTTCTCTTCTCCAGGCTCTCCAAGCCTCTCTCCATAGCAGAAGTGCTCCAGCCCTTGGGGCATCTTTGTGTGCTCATGTAGACTTGCTCCAGCAGGTCCACATCTTCCCTGTGCTGAGCATCGCAGAGCTGGAGGCATCTCTGCATGTGGCGTCTCACCTGAGTGGGATAGAGAGGGAGTGTCCTCCCCCTCACCTGCTGCCCATACTGCTGGGAATGAACCCAATATGCAAATGGTTTCTGGATTGCCAGTGCATATGGCCAGGTCATGTTAAGCTTCTCGTCCACTAACACTCCCAATTCCATCTCCCCTGGGCAGTTCTTGATTTGTATTGGTACCGGGGGTTGCCCTTACCCAGGTGCAGCACCTTCCACTTGATCATGATGTTCACTGGGCTCACTTCTCAAGCTTGTACAGGTTCCTCTGGATGGTGTCCTGCCCCTCAAGCACATCAACCTTACTACTCAACTTACTATTATCTGCAGATAGGCTGAGGTGCCCTCAGTCTCACTGTCCATGTCATTGATGACAGTATTAAACAGTACTTTTCCTAACATGGACCCCACTCGTTCCTGTCTTCATCTGTATATTGAGCCATTGACCACTACCCTTTGCATGTGATCATCCAAGCAGTTCCTTATCCAGTGAAGAGTCCACACATCAAATCTGTATTTTTTTCCTTTTATTACTCACTCCAGTTTAGTCTGTACTGCTGTGGTTAAGGTCAGGGGAGAATGTGAATGTGCTTGGTGGGAGTAACTGGTGTATTTGGAGAACAACAAACTTTTGAGCACAGAAGCACTTTTGTACAAACAACAATAATGGTTTCCCCCATAATACTGATCCTTTGTAATTAAAAAAAATATTTCACTTATTGTGGCAAAACCTCCTTTGTGTGCTTAAACTGTCATGACAACAGCAACCTTACTACAGCCAGAATCAGCAAAGTCATGGCATATATGTTAGGGAGAAGCATGTCTGTATTACACCTCTCTGTAACAGACAGGAATTCAAGCTGGCTGCTTCAGAGCAGCTACTTTGTGTACAGAGAGGTCAGGATAGCTCTCTAATTCCATGTCCTCCAGAAATGCTGCAGAGCTGAATTAAAATTCACTCAGAAAATACAGATAAAACTTAATAAGGTCTCCATTCTGGCCTTATCATCAAGCAGTGCAAGATAGCTCGGGAGCTCAGTCCCCAGGGAGACAGGGTGCCCAAAGCTAAACTAGCTCAAGGCTGATGCCGCGGGGCTACCCTCTAGCAAGCATGGTGATTATCAGCTCTATTAGTGATTGCAAGCTCTCTTAGAGTTTCGGCTCTTGCCTGCTAGGTAGGTGTGCCCCCGGGCTGAGGCTGCAGCAGACAGTGAGAGAGGAGTGGGAGAGATGCTGGTGGTTCCACAGAGATGGCTTTATTGGGGAAGTCTGTGAAGGGTCCCAGTGACAGCTCTTCTTCTGTCGAATGGGCTAAAATATACCTCTTTTATAGGGTTTGGGAGGATCCAGATTTGACCAGTAGTGAGGGTTAAGTAACGTAGCCTATAGGGTTACAGAGATAAGCTTTGGGGCAGGGGTCAGGGAGACAGGAAGTTCTGTTGCTGTCTCAGCATTCCCATTGTTCAGATTCTCCATGGGGTCTTGCCCAGGTCCATGGCATTTACTACAAAAATCCAAAAGGACTGTGTAGTTACTGCCAACCTCATCCACTCATTTGCTTGTTCCTGCTGGCTGTATCTGATGGCCTCCTCTTTGCCTACAGAAAAAGAGTGTAGTTGCTTCCCACTCTCTCCTTGCCCATCAGCATTTCATAGGCCTTTCCTGTACAGGGCTCAGGGCATATCTTTCCCTGCTGAAGAGTCACAGCATATGAAGCTGGTCATTTGTGGACACCAGTCAACCTCTGAGCTTCCTTGCAGGATTTCTCTGAACCTCTTTCAGTTCAGCTCTGTCTGAAGGTACCAGACTGCATCCAGAATTGTGATCCTGGCTAAACATGAGAAGCAGTGGCCTAATGATTTTCTTCCTTTTGTTCTCTCTTGCTTTCCTAGTTATTCATAATGTGGGATTTTCCTTTTTACCCAGCCTTTTCCTTGGCAGTGTTTTCATTACACTAACCAACAAACAAGGAAGTTTTCCAGACCCGTAAGGAAAATGGACCGCTCGGTGTATGGTTGTTTTCTTGTACAACCTTTCTTTCTAATCTTTTGGGGTTTTTTCTTCCCTTTAATTTCAGGTAAAGAATTTGACTAGTATTAGAGGACAGAGTTCTGTGAGATATTTCCAGAACTTGTATCTCGTTTGGATCATAGTTCCAGACAAGAACTTAAGTGCTTGTGGTGTTTGATTCTTTCAGTAGGGTCTGCTTTAACATGCAGTCCTGTTAATACATTTAACAGAATGTCACACAGGATGAAGTTGAATGTCTAAGAGAAGTCTGATAATTCCAAACTGTTGTTGTAAGTCACATTAACAATTCACTAAATCATTTTACCTGACCTACTTGATGCAGAACTCTAATGACTGACAGTATTTTTGCTTTTCTTTCTATTCCCTACTGATATGAATCAGTAGATAATATGAGGATCAAGAATATGAGTAGTGTGGAAAGTTCAGTCCACTGCACCATTCTTCTTGCCTCCTATTGGAGTCTGTACCACGTTTGTACAGCTGATTGTTGGATTTTTATTTTGAGGTGACATTGAAATACTGAAGCTTGCATATCAGCTTTTCAGTTTCTTGCATTGTTCCTCTCTTTTTATGCTGAAGTTCCTGTTGTATCATAGATCTCCAGCCAGGAAATGGACATGGGCATCACTGTGACTGTCCCAAGGGTCCTATTAAGCAGCACTTTGTAGATCTGACTACAGATGTAATCCTGATCTGAGCTTCTGAACTCTTGTTTGCTTGGTGTTAAGATCTTGAAACTGTAACTTCTTTCCTAGGGAGAAGCAAGTTGAAATGGCTTTATCTCAGAAAGTAGAATAAGAGGGGCTGATACACATGGCAGCACTGTGTAAGGTGCAATTTTACTTCTGTTTAGTTATTTAACTTCAGTTATATATAACTTTATTTGCATAAGCTCTGTGTTCTCAGCTCTCCATTAGAGACTGAGCACTTTACTACTACTTAGTATTTTATCTCAGTTTTCACCATTACTATGTTTTAGTGTGTATTGCTACTCATTCCTAATCTCAGGTCATCAGAATTGTCCTGTCTAGGATGACTCACATGGCTGATCTTATGCTTTTGTGCCATCTAAAACGGTTAATTGCCTATTAGCTGGTGCATAAATACCATGCTTGAACTTCTTGAACTGGTACTTGTCTCTGTTCTTCACATCCTGTGTTCCCTGAGAATCTGAGTCTTTGGAAATGTGTTGCTTTTGAAGCAAGCAGTGATGCTGCTTTTCATTCCAAGTTATTGGAAGCATTTAAAATTGGTCACTTTAGGCTTGCACCATGATGTGACAGCATCAGTGTCAGAGAAGACCTCCAACTCTGGAATGTCATAGTGGCTGCAAATGGTCATTTGTTGTTCAGTTGTACTAAGAAATCCCAGATTATTAGGAGGAGGATTGAAAGAGATTGTGAGGAGGGCTGAAGCACTTCCAATCAGAATTCTTAACACTGAAACAAGTAGCTTTGGTTCTCCTGCATTGAGGGAGGCCAGAATCAAACATTACTGATACTTAGAGTCTTCTGTTTTAAGCAGCACAGCCTCAAGCCCTGCTTCTTCATTTGGTTCTTGCTGAGGTTGGGGTTGCTTCACTGTTGTCTGTTTAGACTTTGAATCCTAAACTGAGATTTTATGTTTGGTTCATGGAATGTGCTGCAGATTTTGGTGAAGTTCTCTCTTTCACTTTTGCATCTGCAAGGACAGCCTCCACCATCAGCTGGGCCAGTTTGTGACTGTGAATATTGTATCTGTTTTCTTTTGCAGCAATTCACATCTGTGGTCTTTCCTTCCTGTCTCAGAGGAAGGAAAAATGCTTGGGTGATTTAGCTGTTTAACCTCTGAGATTTGTGCTTCAGGGGCTGCTGCCAGGTCTGTCCATGCCTGTACAGCAGCAGCCATCTCCTGATTCATCGGCAGTAGTTGAGAGTGACTTTCCTGCCTGTGGAAACTTCACCTACCTAATGGTAGGCTCCTGAGGAGAGTGACGTTGTCTATATCACTTCCCATCTTTCTTGCTCAGTTTCTTATAGTCAAGGGAAAAGGC